GCTCGTGGGGTATGGAATACTAGTTCCCTTGAAGAAAGACTACCAGACCAGCCCTTAGGACGGATTGCGATGGGGAAGAACCTTACCGGGGGGTCTGGGGGGGATGGAATACCCCCCAACATATGAAGTTCTTATGATAATTATAGGGAACGGAACACTGAATCGAATACTCCTCATGGAAGAACGATTTAATGTTTATCCCTGCAACTGTCACAAGATGTTCGTATACTGGGGGGTATTCCATACCCCCCAGACCCCCCGGTTCCACATTCTTCCCCAAAATGTAAAGAACACATACAATATACGCTATCATTTTTGGAAAAGAGCCATAAACCTAACACCAGAAGCTCGTGGGGTATGGAATACTAGTTCCCTTGAAGAAAGACTACCAGAACAGCCCTTAGGACGGATTGCGATGGGGAAGAACCTTACCGGGGGGTCTGGGGGGTATGGAATACCCCCCAGTATACGAAGTTCTTATGATAATTATAGGGAACGGAACACTGAATCGAATACTCCTCATGGAAGAACGATTTAATGTTTATCCCTGCAACTGTCACAAGATGTTCGTATACTGGGGGGTATTCCATACCCCCCAGACCCCCCGGTTCCACATTCTTCCCCAAAATGTAAAGAACACATACAATATACGCTATCATTTTTGGAAAAGAGCCATAAACCTAACACCAGGAGCTCGTGGGGTATGGAATACTAGTTCCCTTGAAGAAAGACTACCAGACCAGCCCTTAGGACGGATTGCGATGGGGAAGAACCTTACCGGGGGGTCTGCCAGCATATGAAGTTCTTATGATAATTATAGGGAACGGAACACTGAATCGAATACTCCTCATGGAAGAACGATTTAATGTTTATCTCTGCAACTGTCACAAGATGTTCGTATACTGGGGGGTATTCCATACCCCCCAGACCCCCCGGTTCCACATTCTTCCCCAAAATGTAAAGAACACATACAATATACGCTATCATTTTTGGAAAAGAGCCATAAACCTAACACCAGAAGCTCGTGGGGTATGGAATACTAGTTCCCTTGAAGAAAGACTACCAGAACAGCCCTTAGACGGATTGCGATGGGGAAGAACCTTACCGGGGGGTCTGGGGGGTATGGAATACCCCCCAGTATACGAATATCTTGTGACAGTTGCAGGGAAGTACATTAACACGTTCCTCCATGAGAGATATTCGATTCAATGTTCTCTTACCTGTAATTATCACAAGAACTTCGTATACTGGGGTATTCCATCCCCCCCAGACACTCCGGTAAGATTCTTCCCCATCACAATCAGTTCTAAGGGCTGTTCTGGTAGTATTTTTTCAAGGGAACTAGTATTCCATATCCCACGAGCTCCTGGTGTTAGGTCTATGGCTCTTTTCCAGAAATGATAGCGTATATTGTATGTATGCATACCCCCCCAGTCGCCCTGGTTCTACATTCTTCCCCAAAATGTAAAGAACACATACAATATACGCTATCATTTTTGGAAAAGAGCCATAAACCTAACACCAGGAGCTCGTGGGGTATGGAATACTAGTCCCTTGTAGAAAAAGTACCAGAATAGCCCTTAGAACGGAATGTGATGGGGAAGAACATCACCGTTTCATACCCCCCAGTATACGAAGTTCTTGTGATAATTATAGGGAAGCGAACATTGAATGTACTTCTCTGCAACTGTCACAAGATTCCATACCCCGCACACCCCCCGGTTCTACATTATTCCCCTAAACGTATCCAACATAACTCCACCAAGAGTCTGTGGAGAATGGATTCTAGTGTTTTTGTGCAGGGGATTATCGTATGGTAGGTATTCTCTCCATTCCACTCCGACAGCTTTCCGGATTGTAATCTTTCAGATTTGTCCTTTTCTTTTCTTCGTTTGCGTGTCACTTTTTTGTTGTTTTTCTATGCTTCCTTCTACGTCTTCTTTTAGATCCTCTTCTATTGCCTTTTTTGGCTCGTTTATTTTGCTTTTTCCTTCTTATTTTACTTAGTATTGTTCTTCGTCTTCGTCGTTGTCTCTTTTTTTTGTCTTCGTCTTCGTCCCCGACTCACTTGTTCTTTGCTTTCATCTTGATCGTCTTCCACTTTCCACCTCTTCGTTCTTGTTACACTTCTTCTGCGCCTCCGTCCTTCTTTTATTTTCTACATTATCTTCTTCTTTTGCTCGATTTTATTCTACATTTTGGTTTCGTATTTTTCTCCTTGTCCTCCTAAGAATTTTTTTCGCCTTCTCCATCTACTTTATCACTTAATCCTTTTTGGATTTATTAGTGCACGTATAAAGTTAGTCTATTAATTAGTTGGCAGCTTAATTAATCAAGTAATGAAGAAATGGAGTCCTACATTTTGTCTTATGTTCTTTGTTTTCTTGGTCTTCTTCCTGGCGACATCTTTTTTCGTGTGTCTGTTCCCTGTGTTTCTTCTTGTTTCCCTTAGCTTTTTTCTTTGGTTTATTCTTAATTTTCCTTTCCCTTGTATTTTTATGCGTCTCCTTCTCACTTCCCTTTTCTGACCTTTTTCTGCTTCATTTTCTTTCGTCCCCTTGTTCGTCAACGTATCTATCCTCTCTTTTTGTTATCGTTGCTACTTGACGATACCTCTTTTGCCTTCTCCGTACTCCTCTCTGTGGTGTTCACCTTTATCTCATGTTACTTGTTCCTCTCTCTCGTCATTTCTTGTGCGGTTCTTTAATGGTTTTCATTATCCTATTCTTGTTCGCCATCTCCTTGTGTTCCCGCGTTTCCTTAGCTTTCGTATTTATCTTTTCATTTGTCTTCTTTCCCTCTAGGTCCCTTTTTGTTTTATTTCTTTGTGTCTTCCATCCTTTGGCCATCATCCTGGCCTTTACCATCTTCTTCATTATCTTCTATTTGCATTTTCATCTTTCTCGCAGGGTTTTTCTTCTACGTCGTTATATTCTTCATCTTTGTCATTTCACTTGTTCGGGATCATCTTCATTCTTGCCTCCATCCTCATTGTGTCCCTCTTTTTTGCCTGTTTCTACGTCTTTTTTGGTATATTGTGTTGTGGCTTTATTTATTGCATTATTATCTGTCTTACTTTTCTACTCTTTTTCTCCTTCGTTATCTCTTGTTTGTCTTCTTTGCGTTCTCTTTTTATCTAAGTCATGCACTGAGTCATCTTTATCATCTGCTGCATAATCTTCACCTTTTCATTGGGTTTTTCCTCCTCCTGTATCTTCTCCTGCGCCTTTGCCTTCTTCTTAGAGCTCTTCTGAAACTCCTTTTTATAAGTCATCATCTTTTCTGTCCTTTTCTTCACGTTCCTCCTTCATATGTTTTTTTGTCTAATTCAATGCGTTTTCTTTTCTATTCTTCTTTGTTCTCCTTTCTCTATTACTAAAGTGCTTTTGTACGTTTTTCCCCCTCCTCTTTCAATTCCGTTCTGATATTTGTTGTCTTCACCTTTTTCTTCCTCTTCTTTTAGTAGATTATTTAATATAGTAGCCTTCATTATTGTTTTCGTTTCCTTTTTTGTTTTCTAACCCTTATTATTTCTTTTATCTTTTTTTTCATATTCTTCGCCTTTGTTTTTTTTTCGTCTTCTTTTCATTTCAGATTTCGTGGTTTGCGAAATGAAAGGGGAAAGGTTGAAAATATGAAAGGTAGTAGGTCAAATTAAGATGGAAAACGGCCTTCAAACGGCGTTAGCGATTAAAACGCCGGACAATCAAACTGGAAAGCGTCAATAAAACAAGTTTAATTAAAAACGGTACTAATTTACGATTTCTGATAAATATTAACTTTAAAGAGAAAACATTTAATTAAACTAATCAGTTCGTTTAATACGTCTCACATTAAAATCGTCGTTATCTTTATAAAGGGTTATAAAAGATACATGCTGGCCGCCACCAGCGCGTTATAAATTTGAACAATCCTCGATACGGAAAACAAAAAAAATCAAAATCGGTCGAATTCTACCTTAAATAACGAACCCAATTATAATATACCCAAATAATAACTCATAACGGCTAATGATAAATTATACGAGCAACAATTTGAAAGGCAATTTTGATATAATTTAAGTATAACCAGTTGCTTCGGTATATATCGGAATATATATACTTATGTGGGATATCAGGTAAATTTATATGTTCGCCGGTATAACATAGGTGTGGTAGACCGAGCTTTTCGAAAAACTAGATTTATAGTCGCCATAAATATAGCATAGCCTATGGCTTTCTTATCCTACCAGCCTATTACAAGCTAAAGAGCGTTTGTTTTATGCCAGTTTCCTTTAAAACATCCGTGAGAACAACTAAAACTCGGAAGATCGTAACAATAAATTTTTCCCCCCTCGCCCTCTCGCGGTCCCTCCTCCTGCGCTCGTCACGAAAAATTTTTTGATATACTTCGATTTGATTACGCCCGTTATCCACTTCCTTTCTATAGATCGCGGTTTTATCTCGAGACCCCCACAGAAATTGCCTTGTCGAGGCCTATCCCGGGGCAGGGAACAGATGAAAGTTAATAAGTTGAGGCCAATGCGGCACTTAATTAGTGTGGCAAATAGAAAACAAAACCAAACGTTTTCAAATTCTAAGCAAAATCAATTATAATATTTGACGACAAAGAAGTTTTCGACTGGAAAGGGATTCATTTTACATACCATAACCCCCCCCCCCTTCCGACCACCTGATGGTATTCTTTCTGGAAATAGCAAGGGAACTGTTTAGGCCTCATGATTCTCATGACAGTTGTCGGGGAAGAATGATGAGATCGTGTTCTCCGTACGGTGGAGGGCTTACAGCCCCCCCCCCCCGGGGGGGGGGGGGACATGAAAGAATCGATGATTAATTCTGAAAAATGATGTCTTCCCCTCCTGTTGTGGTATCAGCAATCGACCAAATTACACCATGCCCTCCCCCTCCAATGTTTGGAGGTAACTAGTCCATTGTGGTGCGAATTACTTTTTAATTGCGGATGACGAAGGTTAGGCTTATATAGACCATGTAACGCAACGATCTGATTAGAAAGATGTACGCCGCGTTTCTAATATTTGCCTCCATCGCATTCGTGCTTGCGGTAAGTTCAATCGGTGCTCCGTCCTGCTGAAACTGCGCCTTTCAGCAATTCTACCAGGATCGGTACGATATCGTGCACGATCGGATGGAAGTACAGGATCATAACAATTCCTTTTTGCTCCGCCCGAATATCCAAGCGGTCTACTACAACAAAAGTATGAAGATGAAGGTCCTAAATGCCTCCGGTTTCGTGACCTCCCCACTTAAGAACAATATAATGGTGATAATTCGCTGTGGAAATCTTCAGTAACTTGTGCTTGTAGATGGACTTCAAGTTTTACAGATTCGCCAGCGGTGCGTATCGCATCATTCCGTTCAATATCACGATAGATTTATGCGATCAGCTCAAGAGAAATATGTTCGGTTTAAGCTCCATAGTTCAGTACTCAAATTTTAGGGGATGTCCATTTCCGGGCGTAAGAGACGTTACGTATGTCACTGAGAAATTTAGGCGAACCTGTTTCAGGGTTTATTATATCTGAGATATTATCCAATCGAGCAGGACAAGTTTCCTCCCTTCTTACCTCTCGGGAAGTACAAGCTGTCTATAACTGTGCATGTCAATGATGGCCACTGGTTCGTTGGTATTACCAATTGGTATGGTTCTCTGGTTGCCAAAGGCAGAAACTAATTAACTTAACTATAAAGCACTTGTGTGACTGTAATTGCTAGTAGATGTTCGCATTAAATGTTTTGATGATGAAATTGGAGCACTTTGGAGTATGGCACATTATTACACTCAATCAAAAGTTATAGACTAGAAACCAATTTCGAAAAAAATTCAAAGGGCTGTAACTTTTGAACTAGTAGCCCAAACTTGGAACTGTTTGAAATTATGGATTCTACAGGCCACATTCTATAAGAAAATTTTTTTCCGGGTCGATCTGAGACAATTTTTTTGTCGGGGCTCAAAAAAAGGCAGTGTATAACCTTCCTTTTTTACCAAAAATCGACTACACCAAAATTTCTCGGGAAAACACTTTTTTTATTAATTTGGGTGCGTAGAATCCAAATCAATTCGTACTTTTTCGATCAGACTTCTCAATCAAAAGTTATAGACTAGAAACCAATTTCGAAAAAAAAATTCAAAGGGCTGTAACTTTTGAACTAGTAGCCCAATCTTGGAACTGTTTGAAATTATGGATTCTACAGGCCACATTCTATAAGAAAATTTTTTTTCCTGGTCGATCTGAGAATTTTTCTTCAGGGCTCAAAAAAAGGCAGTTTATTACCTTCCTTTTTTACCAAAAATCGACTGCACCAAAATTTCTCGGGAAAACACTTTTTCTTATTAATTTTGGTGCGTAGAATCCAAAACAATTCGTACTTTTTCGATCAGACTTTTCAATCAAAAGTTATAGACTAGAAACCAATTTCGAAAAAAAATTCAAAGGGCTGTAACTTTTGAACTAGTAACCCAATCTTGGAACTGTTTGAAATTATGGATTCTACAGGCCACATTCTATAAGAAAATTTTTTTCCGGGTCGATCTGAGACAATTTTTATTTCGGGCCTCAAAAAAGGGCATAGTATAACCTTCCTTTTTTGACAAAAATCGACTGCACCAAATTTTCTCGGGAAAACACTTTTTCCTATTAATTTTGGTGCGTAGAATCCAAAACTATTCGTACTTTTTCGATCAGACTTCTCAATCAAAAGTTATAGACTAGAAACCAATTTCGAAAAAAAATTCAAAGGGCTGTAACTTTTGAACTAGTAGCCCGATCTTGGAACTGTTTGAAATTATGGATTCTACAGGCCACATTCTATAAGCAAATTTTTTTTCCGGGTCGATCTGAGACAATTTTTTTTTTTTGGGGCTCAAAAAAAGGCAGTGTTTTACCTTCCTTTTTTACCAAAAATCGACTGCACCAAAATTTCTCGGGAAAACACTTTTTCTTATTAATTTTGGTGCGTAGAATCCAAAACAATTCGTACTTTTTTGATCAGACTTCTCAATCAAAAGTTATAGACTAGAAACCAATTTCGAAAAAAAATTCAAAGGGCTGTAACTTTTGAACTAGTAGCCCAATCTTGGAACTGTTTGAAATTATGGATTCTACAGGCCACATTCTATAAGAAAATTTTTTTTCCGGGTCGATCTGAGACAATTTTTTTTTCGGGGCTCAAAAAAAGGCAGTGTATAACCTTCCTTTTTTACCAAAAATCGACTACACCAAAATTTCTCGGGAAAACACTTTTTCTTATTAATTTTGGTGCGTAGAATCCAAAACAATTCGTACTTTTTCGATCAGACTTCTCAATCAAAAGTTATAGACTAGAAACCAATTTCGAAAGAAAATTCAAAGGGCTGTAACTTTTGAACTAGTAGCCCAATCTTGGAACTGTTTGAAATTATGGATTCTACAGGCCACATTCTAAAAGAAAATTTTTTTCCAGGTCGATCTGAGACAATTTTTTTTTCGAGCCTCAAAAAAAGGCAGTGTTATACCTTCCTTTTTTACAAAAAATCGACTGCACCAAAATTTCTCGGGAAAACACTTTTTTCTTATTAATTTTGGTGCGTAGAATCCAAAACAATTCGTACTTTTTCGATCAGACTTCTCAATCAAAAGTTATAGAGTAGAAACCAATTTCGAAAAAAAATTCAAAGGGCTGTAGCTTTTGAACTAGTAGCCCAATCTTGGAACTGTTTGAAATTAGGGATTCTACAGGCCACATTCTATAAGAAAATTGTTTTTCTGGGTCGATCTGAGACAATTTTTTTTTCGGGGCTCAAAAAAAGGCAGTGTATCTATTACATACTCCAGGCGCTCCTGGTGTTACTTTTTATGGCCCCTTTCCAAATTTTTGAGGCAGAATGTAGCACCGGGGGGTCTGGGGTAAACGAAGTACTTGTGATAGTTGTAGGACATGAAAACGTACTTCGGTGAGGGGTATTCGATTCAATTTTCTCTTCCAATCAAACAATCAAAAGAACTTCGTATACTGAGGGGTATTCCATACCCCCCCCCCGGTGAGGCTCTTCTTCAATATACTCAGCCCTAAAGGCTGTTCTAGTAGTGTTTCACAAGGGACTGCTATTCCATAGTCTAGGCGCTCCTGGTGTTAGTTTTTATGGCCTCTTTCCAAAAATGATCTGGGGGGGGGGGGATTGGTTAAGAACCAATTTTATGATACTAACCACACGAAGCTAGGGCAATAACCCATTTTACTTTGGTTGGTAAAGCAGGATCGAGAAAATGTTTAGGAAGACTTGAGGGGAAGAATTTTTTGAGCACTTGGGGTAGTTTTTATCAGCTTAAGAGGAAAATGACGGGAATTTTAGAGCTTTAGGCAGATTTGAGAGGAAAACTGAAGCGGTACCTACTGTTGTTTTAGTTTTAGAGGATTAGCGGAACATTCTAAAAGGCGTATCATACCTGACGTGTATTATTTTCTCGTAAACACTTTAATACTTTTAATACACACACCTTTCGTTTACCTATAGATCAAAGGTATCAGGAGATCATATTTGGGTTTTAGTTCTTCTCGGTATTAATTTCTCTTCATAAAAGAGGTACGATTGTCAGTTTGGCCTTACACATCAGGAGCACCTAAGCACCCTCATTTACCGTGATCCTGATCATCGTTTCCATTGGTATTTAGTTGTACCAGTTACGCAATCAGGAGTTCAGAAGTGATTTACTTCTAGTTATATCTGGAATAGAAGGACCAAAAACGCCGCTCATTTCCTTGATACCAAGCTTTTACCAAAGAGTAATTAAGTATTCTTTGCTTTTACGACAGTAATTAGGAGCACAGAAATGCTCTCGATTAATTTCGAAAAATTCTATGACAGTAATCCAGATCGTAATGTCAGACATCGAATATAAAGCGGATCGAAAACGTAAATCATACAACGAATTTCTAATAATTAAAAAGGAACGGATAGAAGAAACAACTCAAATCTAAATAACGATAAATATCTAAAAGATGACTTGAAATTTCAATACATACTAATTATCTTTTCGATCAGATAAGCGATATTCATTTAGAAAAAAGAAATAAAACCGAATTCGGTTCAAAGATTCGAAACCTGAATAGATATTGGGAAAAAAAATTATAAAGAATTATGGTACCCTTTTTTTTATATCCTCCATTTCTCATATTATTATTATTACCGCCGGTTTTTGGATTATAAATTGCGCTATTGTTTTCGACCGAAGATATTTTTTTTTGTTTCTCTCTCAGCGGCGGCCGCTACGATTTTCAAATATGCGGCATTGGTGGAAATTAACGCGCAATTATAATAATTAATGGTAACCGGCAGAAAAAAAAAACGTACACGATTATTTTATACACTATCAGGCGAGTGCTGGGAACGATAATAAGTTCAATTGTTTGTTTATTTCCGCAATTATTGCTATAAGTGATTTGGTGATATTTATAAAACCTCGAGATTTGTTGTTGGAAACGGACTTAATTGGACGTACGGCATAATTAATTTCGTATATGGAATGATTAAAAAATGATACTATTAATTGCGGGGGCGCGCATTTGTTCGAAGTTGATACGGGAACCGATTGTAACGCCAGCCGGCGATTCGAAATTTATTTCCTCCTCTCGTTCTTGAAATTGATCACAATTGATGAAAATTATACGACGAGGAGCTTGTTCTGAATGTTTTTATTACCAATAAATTTGATGAGGTCAAATGGTTTACGCAGGGTCGGATCGGACAAACGAGATACCGGGGAAATTCCCGTCTCTTCAGGACCCAGCAAAAATCGTCGTCATATATGTATAATTACCGCAATAGTCATAAAATTAATTTAAATGTTTCAACGATATGAACTGAATTAATGGTCCTGTTCTCTAATACGTAACGATGTCGTTACACAGCGGTTATCGTTCGGTAACGACTTTCTCTATTTTGTATAACAATATAACAGTGATGCTTCCAAGATAAAGTCGTTACCATTACGATATCGTTTGTTAACGACAATATACAGAATAGACCCCGTCTGTTGGTCAGTGTAGTAAATAATGCCATTAGAGCCTATACTGTATAGAATTTATTTAAAACAGATTCTTACTGGATAACGTAGTACATTCAGTGATGCAATACGTAACAAAATCTTAGAGAACTCTATAGAAAACCTACAGTAGTATATTCCATAGTCTTCCGCAGTATATTCCTTACTCCGAGATTCCGAAGTAGATATATATCGTGGTAGATCGTATAGTGCCTTTCATCGTACATTTATGCTGGACCCATAATTAGAAAAAGCCCCACCCCCTCCTCGACGGAGTTGCCCAAAATATCAACATCTACCGAATGCTTTAAAAAATATACGTTGTAGTATATGGAAGAGAATCGTTTTCCTAGGAGGTATTGAAATACTGGGGAGTTCCATAACCCTCAAAACGTATAGTGCAAGTACCACATAACCCGCATCATTTTTCGAAGGAGTCCATGAAAATTAACACCAGGTGTTCGTAAAAATGAAGATTCTTACTGAAAAACAACCACAACGGTGATAAGGAATCTCTACACGTTTTGGAAGACAACAACTGCAACAGAGAATGTAGAAGATATGGAATACCTTTCAGACCTTCCCTGAAAAATGATCGCAAGAGTTCTGAATGTTTGTTAATTTCGGGGGAGTCTAAGTCCGACGGGTCTGGGGGGTATGGAACACCCCCCAGTC